TGGCCGTGCCCCAGAACAAAAGAAAGGAGTTGTCTTTGTCCAGTGCAAACCAGGAAGGTATCCAAGTAAATGATATTGAGTGATTTACAGGTCTGATACTCTTCCTTTAGCCTATAATTCCAGGAAGGGACTCTAAAGGAATAAGGGTCTGGTCAGGGAATTACCCATGTGCAAGAAGAGAGGAAAATGCATCGCTTCAGTTTCTTAACAGTTGATCAGGAAGACTTCAGAAGAGAGGAAAAGGCGTCTCTCACCTCAGTTCCTTCTCATCTTTTCCTGGTGTGTGGGCCCTAGGTGCTCCTGCAACTGACAGCCAGAGCCCCTGTTCTCTCTGTGAAGGTGGTCATGCTTACCCAGACTTGTCTTACCTCCTTAGAGGGACCCTGGTTTCCCTACCATTAAGATTCCCTTAGAAGTTAATGGATACACTAGACTTCTTTAAGTAGAATTGTTTTGTGCGGCATAGTCATATGGAGGGACAAGATATGGGGCATCCAGGGAGAGGAAATCCACCTCAGATAACCCCTGTGGAGTGGAAAAGTTGGGAGATCCCTTAGATCTTAGTTTTTTGCCCTGCTTGGCCATTCCTTCACAGATGTGGTATAGCCAATTCGAGGGGTGTCCTAGTAATGCCCAGGATAGGAGGGGTCAGAAACAGGAGACTGTTTCTGGTCGTAACAGGGAATTGGCAGTGAGATCCCTTGGAGGCCACCTGAACCACTCACCAAAGAACGTGGGGGGGACCATCCTGGGCTTTCCCACTCGTTCTCTTAGGAGAGGAATCAGCCAAGAAAACAGTAGTAGGGGAGTTTCGCTCTAGATGCCGGGATGGGCAAGTAAGGAACCAGCTCCCTCTGAGGACCACCACAGGGTAGCCTTGATCAGGCCCTTCAGCTGCTGCTAGGTTTTTCCTAGGCCCCTTCCATCCAGTGACCTGCCCCGAAAGGAGTTTGGAGTCCTTACCAAACCAACGTTCCCAGCTTCTGTTGGGGGATCCGTTGGGAAGGAGCCGAGAGAGCCTGCCACCCAAGACTTGAGAATAGCAACCATGCTAATGGCTCTTACATGGCTGACAGGTGCACATTGTTTCAACAAACAAAATTGGGAGAAAGAGAGAGAGGCTTGCTGCCCACTACTCACAGTTAGTTGTCCTTAACAGTGGTGGACATCCCAGACGAGCCCCCATAAATGTCACAGAATTGTTTTCTCCGTCTGTGCCCACAGTTCTAGGTCCCGCCGCTTTGAAGAACAAAGAGGTAGACCAGGCAGAGAGGTGGGCGGCAAAGCAAGGTTTATTGAGCGATGGCAAAGTGATAGTACAGAGCTCTCCCCCAAAGAGGGAGGGGACCCGAGAGGGCTGCCTTCTGCTTTGCAGTGTTAAATGTAGACTTTAAATAGTTACGATGGTATTTGATCATGGTTTATATAACTAGTTCCCTTTAGTTGGGCATTTGGATTATTTAACATTGATTGTTATTTTGTAATTATTCAGTGTTGTATATGATGATTTAAATGAAAATAATAAAATACTGCTATAGATTGTCCTTTCAAAATTCGTATATTGAAAACTAGCCCTCCTGAATGGGATTAGGGCCCTTATAAAAGAGGTCCCAGAGAGACCCCTCTTACCTCTTCTATTCTGTAAGGATGTAGTGAGAAGGGAACCCATATATACAGGAAGCAGACCCTCAACAGACAGTAAATCTGCCGGTGCCTTGAGCTTGGACTTTCCAGCCTCCCGAAGTGTAGTAAGTAAAAAATGCTTTTTGTTTTTGTTTTTGTTTTTTTAGAGAGAGAGAAAGTAGGGGAGGGACAGAGGGAGTGAGAGAGAGAATCCCAAACAGGCTCCATGCCCATTGCAGAGCCCAACACAGGGCTGGATCTCATGACCCTGAGATCATGACCTGAGCTGAAACCAAGAGAAGGTCCCTTAACCGAATGAGCCACCCAGGTGCCCCTAAAAATTGTTTTTCATAAGCCACCCAGTTTATGGTATTTTATTATATCAGCCCAAGGGACTAAGACAAATGTATTTAGAAAAGAGCAACAGAAATCTTTAAAATAGTGGAAAATGGGGCACCTGGGTAGCTCAGTTGGTTAAGTGTCTGCCTTCAGCTCAGGTCTTGATCCCTGGGATCGAGCCCCATGTCGGGCTCCTTGCTCAGCAGGGGGTCTGCTTCTCCCTCTGCCTGCTGCTCCCCCTCCTTGTGCTTGTGTGCTCTCTCTCTCTGTGTCAGATAAATAAAGTCTTAAAAAAAAAAATAGTGGAGGGGCGCCTGGGTGGCTCAGTGGGTTAAGCCTCTGCCTTCATCTCAGCTCATGATCTCAGGGTCCTGGGATCGAGTCCCGCATTGGGCTCTCTGCTCCGCAGGGAACCTGCTTCCTCTTCTCTCTCTCTCTGCCTGCCTCTCTGCCTACTTGTGATCTCTCTCTGTCAAATAAATAAATAAATAATATATTTTTTTTAATAGTGGAAAATAACAAAGGATTAAAGAAGTTGGAGTTTGTTTTAGAGAAAATTTGAGAGTTTTTCAAGTACAGCAAAACCTGAATTAACTGGATTCCTCGGTCCTCTGTGTGTGTGTTTTGAGAAAGACTGTCAGGAAATATGCAGTTTGTCAGGGAAGTACACAGTGTATCAACTTCAGATGGCTATAAAGATGAGTGCTTTGAGCACTGATGGTCAAGAGAAGGGGGTGTGAATGGAGGCTGGGAAAGGAGGGGGCATTAGGTGCAGGCAAAGGAGGGGTGACAGAAGGTGTGGGGACAAATGGTAGGGAAGAAAAGTGAGCAAAGGAAATAAGATCATCCCTCATGCTTAGAAATTTGATATGAAGGAGTACAGAAAATAAAAACTCTTTGGGGTCAGTTCGGAGTCCAGACAGATTTGGTCCGGTTTTCTGTACGTTGTTTCTATATGTAGAAATCATTTTCATGGTCCTGAGAGGATGAGTGACTTGACCAGGTGCTCTTCTGTTGCCGTCCCTCACACAGAGAAAATGATGCTTCCTAACTTTTGAACAATTCTGAGTTAATCAAGTGGCAATCATATATAAATACAACAAATGTATTAAGTATTTTCAGATTACGGTTAAACAGGTTTATGCTGCTTACAGATAAAACTATTACTGGATAATAGACAATTAAATTATCCAGAACTCTAGTTTTCTAGCTTTGAAGTTCTTGAAGGTTTTTGTACAGATGTATTGCTTGCTTCTGCCAAATAATAAGAATGCTGTGATGCAGTCTTTCCTTTTGTTCTGTGAGGAAGCTGTTGAGACTCAAAGATACTCAACCACTCAAAGATAGTGTATTACCTTAGAACTTATACATCATATTTTTCATAGCTTTATTTTTTATTTCTTATTTATTTATTTTCTGTTTCTAATTTAACTTACTGTGAAGTTACCAGGAATCATTCTTAGAAAGATTAAGGGACATACTGATATTAATGATAAGTTTCTCAGTTTCTTTCAAAATTGATCTATATCTGTAAAATCAAACTTCAGATTTTTTTTCTTCCTTTTCACTTTTTTTTAGCCAACTGATTTCTAAAGTTTTAATTTTCAGATTCTGAGCTTCAGAATTTAATGACCCCTAAATATGGAAAAGGAACCAGGTTTTAGAAATTTATTTTTTAAAATTCAGGATCCTTTTGTAATGTAGTGTTTTCCTAAATTAAGTATTTCAAGTTTGGACTTTGTGAGGTGCTCGAAATGGGACACATCTGTGAGACTCTTGAGAGTGGTAGCAAGAAACAAGGGAGAGGGTAGAAGGTTGCCCTCCCTTTGGTGTGACAGACTAAGAACAGACATTGTGCATTCTTCTGGCTGCTCACTTTTTGTCACCATATGTCTTTACTTTTATACATTCCAGCTGAACAGGGCAGCTCACATCTTAGGAAACTGCTTCTGGCCACAATCAGAATTTACAGTTCATCTTACTGGCATTTCCAAAGGGTCACTAAACAAGATCTCGTGATGTAACCTAGCAGTATCCACGCCTTCATTACAGTATTTATGTCAACACCGAACTAATGTTTTTACAATTTGTCAAAAAGAGCTATGACTATTATTAAAGAAAAGGGGGGGGTACATTTTACTTTGTACCAAGCACGATTTAAGCACTTCTCTTCCTTTTTCATATTTGAGCTTCAGGGACTTGTCTACATAGTTTCCTGATGTGCAGCCTTAGGTTACAGTACTGTCTTATGTTCTTTTCTACTTTAAAGTCTACATTAAACATTTTCTGTGCTTTTACAAATATCAGTAAATATAATTTTCCTGCATAGAGTTTTCTCACGTTAATGTACTAAAGTTTACTGCATTGCTGTGTCTGTTTTTTTTTTTACATAATTGAAAGCAATATATCTAAAAAAATAAAATTTAAGATGTAGTGAAATATCTTTCTAATGCTTAACCTTTTCTTTAGCAGCTTCCCCTTAAAGATAGCTTGAAGCTAAAATTCCTCTCCAGTGATTTGTCCACGGGGTTTGGCCCCTGCATGTCTCTGAGCACCCCGCACCCTAGCCCAGCTGCCCCAGTAGTCTCTTACCCTGTGCCTGCCTTCACCATTTAAACTTATTACAGCCATTTTATTAAGAAACAAATTATATACTATAAATTTCACCCATTTAGATTGTACTAGCTTGCCTTTTCAGTCTCTGCTTTCTGAGCTTCCACTTTTCTTTCTCTGTGACTAATAAGTGAGTAGTTCACCACAGAGAACATGACTTTTCTCTCCAAATGGTAAACGATACTTACCCATTTTAATTCCTAGTGTTCTCCTTCCCATTGTGTATTTAATGGCATCAGCTGTAGCTTGAGTTTCACAAAATGTGTGTTTACTTCTCTGGCCTTGTGCTGAGGGGCAACAGTTTGAGATAATGGCTTATAGTCATTAAAAGTACTTTTTTGGCATTTGTTTTCTGTGAAGGCCTGTGTTCCTTATATTGAACCGACTGTTTGGAACAAAGTCTGAAAAATGTTCAGAAAAGAGACTTAAAGTGTTTTTTTCCATAAATTCACAGATATGTACAGAATATCCATTTCTAGTCCTAAACTATTGGCAAAAACCCAGCAACAATTTAATAAAAAAGGTCCAATGAATAAGTCATTAAGCAGGCAGATAAACCAATAGAGAACCTTAAGTTAGACTGGAGGGAAGGCAGGAATGAGGAGATGTTGGTTGAAGAGTAAAAAAATTACCAAGATCTGGGAATCTAATGTACATCATGGTAATTATAGCTAATAATACTATACTGTATCCTTGAAAGTTGCTAAGAGAGCAGATCTTCAGTGTTCTCTTTGCAAAAAAGAAATGGTAATTGCTTGACATGATGCAGATATTAGCTAAGACTGTGTTAGTAATCATTTGTAATGCATGTATCAAATCAACACATGATATGACTTTACTTCATACAAAGTTTTATGTCAATGGTGTATCGGTAAAGCTGGGTGAGGGTTAAATTGGAGGGGATCTTTGTGACAAAAGGATTAAATCTGAAGATAGAGACACAAATTATTTTTATGGACACTTTAATCCTGTATGAACTGCTCTGCCTTTTAAGTTACTCTGCTATAAAATTCCCATGATCTCATTTCAGAGAAAGCAGAGGCTGACTTGACAGGACTGGTAAGTTTTACTGATGACACACCTTGTCATTAAACAGTGGGAGAGTTAATTAATGTTTGGCTAGCAGGCACAAAGTAGAAATTGGGTGAATGTGCGCGTATGGGAACAGATATTCCTTCTCCCTTTGCCCCTGTTGTCAACTCCAAATATTACAGTCTGATTTACGAAGTGTTCGGATCCTGAAGTTTTTTTTACTACTGATTGGTTAAACTTCTAGTTGGGTAACTTGACTGTCATATTTTATATTATTGTTCCTTCAGCTATTCCCTTCAGCAAACTCAAGCTTTTTATACGTTCCCATTTCAACACATGATGGCTGGAGCTCCTGACGGGGCCATGGTGAGCGAACAGCACATGCCGGCAGAAGTTCCAGACCCCGCTCCTGCTCAGGAACCTGTACAAGGTAGTTTTCATCAGGGCAGCATAGAAAATTAGCTGTGGGATGAGCTAATTTATGTAAAAAAGGATTTAATGATGAATTTTAGTTTTATTTTAGTGTTAAAATTTTTAACCACTTTTTAAGTATGTGCCAGGCACTGTGATAGGTTTGAGGGAAGAAAAGAACTTGGATCCTCTCGTCAAATACCTCATAATCTGTTAGGAGAAAATAATAAGTAAACACGCGTTATACTTCAGGACACAAGGGTGCAGAGGGGCACAAGATGCTGTGAGAGCTCACAGGGTTGACTCCTAACTCTGACTGAGGCTCAGAGGTAGCTTCCCCGAGCTCTGGAAGCCAGGGGTGAGGAGACTTTCTCCCCAGGAGAAATGGGCTGGGGAAATTCCAGACTTAGGGAATGGTGTCTGCAAAAGCACAGATGTGAAGAAGCATGACTGTTGGAAAGTAGTGATTCTGTGTCATTGGCTTCTGGTATTTAGCCAAAAAATAGTAAGTGATGAGGCTTGTAACCTGAAGAATGTATATTATGTCCTAAGGCAGTAGGGAGCTTTGAGAGAATGTAAGCAGAGGGTGACTTACGTAGACTGACATTCTAAAAGCCCAGAAATATTGTAGAAGATAGAGTGGATATTAGGGAGTTTGGCAGAATTTGGAGGCAAAAAGTGCATTCAAGACCAAAAAATCTGAGGATGAAATGAGGAGGACCTGAGAGGTTGGAGAGAAGATAATGGTTTTCTCCAGGGTAGCAGTATTATATGAGAAATGGGCTCAGAGTTTCAGTTTATGATTCCAGAAACACACCTGACTCCATTGCCTTGGAGATACCTCTGGCCTTGACTCTCCTCTTGCTGCAAAGTAGATCCCTTGGCGTAGGGAGTGGCTAAATCAGAGTGAAGTAGAGGGAAGAGTGATGCATGGCTGCATTAGGGAACCGCCAAATAGTAGTAGAGTGGGGGAGGGGGCCCAAGAAATTAAGAGAGATGTTAAAGAATTAAGAGTAAGAAAACCAAGCCTTTCTGTGGGCAACTTTAGGTCAGTGATTTTTGACCAAGCCTCCTCCCACCCCCACCCTGCATGAGGCATTGTGCAGAGACAACTTGGATTGTAATGACTGACAGCTGCTTCTGGCATCCAATGTGTAGAGGCCAAGGTGCTGTTAAACATTCTGTAAATACAGTACAGCCCCCCAGAACCCCAAACCACTCAACCTCAGATGTTAGTAGTGCTGAGATTGAGACTGCTTTACGTCCTAAGATAGATCGTGCTCTTGCCTTTTGAAAAACACTTTCACTGCAGTGTTTTCATCCTCAGCACCTCTAAATCCACCTCTTTGGCTGTGTGTGGAACAGAACATACACTCGTAATCTCTAAAGCAAGTCCACAAGCTATTTGAGGCTTTGTATTGCTGGAAATTCTGGAGAAGTTGAGTTAAAATGCTTCTCTTCCTCCCGCTTTTTCCACTTATTTTTTTCATTTGTTTATTCAACTATTTATGTATTTACATTTAGAATTCCTATAAAATAGCTTAATTGCTTTGTATCCCTGATGACAGGTAAGAGAATGTGGAAAATCAATCTATAGTTATTATGGACATTTTATCCTAAGAACAGCTAACAGAAGAAAGAGGGTTATTTTATTTTATCTATTATTTTTTTTTAATTTGTTTGTTTTATTTATTTTATTTATTTATTTTATTTATTTTATTTGTTATTTATTTAAAGAGGGTGGGGCGTGAGCTGCTTGAACCCAGTCCCAGGGGCAAGGAAGGGGCGGATAGTTCAGAAGAGCCTGAAGCTGGGAGATGGAAAAGTAGAGAGTTGCCAGGGTGACTTTTCTGGAAAAGCTGCCGAATGTTCATAAGTTACATTTTTCTGCATCTACATCTACATTGGATATTACTGTGTTTCAGAGACTCCAAAAGGAAGGAAAAGAAAACCCAGAGCAACGGAACCAAAAAAACCAGTAGAACCCAAAAAGCCTGCTGAGGCCAAAAAATCTGGGAAGTCCACAAAATCAAAAGAAAAGCAAGAAAAAATTACAGATACATTTAAAGTGAAAAGAAAAGTAGACCGTTTTAATGGTGTTTCAGAAGCTGAACTTCTAACCAAGACCCTCCCAGACATTTTGACCTTCAACCTGGACATTGTGATTGTAAGGATTTTGATCCTCATGTGGTTTTATAAATAGTGTTGGTGGATTAACTTTGCCTAACTTCTATTCTTGCCAATAGCATTTTGTTGAGAAGAACCATTTCGGAGAATCCTTTTGAATTCTCCTTCGTGAGGTTGTGTTATACGGGTGTGTTTAAGAGGATGGGCTCCAGAGTGGGGCTGTCCAGTTTCCTATCCTGCCATATCAGTATGACCTTGGACAAACCTTAACCTTCCTAGTCACCAGTTTCCTTACTGGTGAAGCAGGGGTGATGTTAGTACCTCTCTCCCAGGGCTGCATTTAGATAAAATAATCCATGTGGCTCGCTTCGATGGCATGATACCTGTGAGTTCTCTATAAATGAGAATACTGATTCTGAGCTTTGGTTTTTCTCAGTAACTATCAGAAACAGCGTGCAGACAGCTGTTGCTGATGTGGGTACCGTAAGCTGCTTGCTGGAAATGGAGAAGCAGTCTGTGGCTGGAGCTGGACTCACCTGATGGGCTGCTCCAGCACCTCTCTTTCCAGCCCAGATGGGCAGCTGTGGGGGCCTGGAGATAGGAAGGAGTCAAACTGGTCTTCATTTTTTAAATTTATTGTATTCTCTTTCCTTTGTGTCAAAGTAGAGTTGACACAGCGTTACATGGTTTCAGGCATACAACATGTGATTTGACTGGTTTGTACACTACAGAGTGCACACAGCAAGTGTAGCTGCCATCGGTCACCAGACACTATTACAGTCCCGTCAGCTGTCCTCCCTCTGCTGTACCTCCCGCTCCCCTTCACCCATTTTGCCCATCCCCCTGCCTCTGGCCACCACCAGTTTGTTCTCTGTATTTATAGCTCTGTTTCTACTATTTTTTCCCCCAGCTGGTTTTTATTTTGTTTGGTCATTCTTTTAGAGAGAGAGAGAGAGAGAGACAGCACAGGCAAGAGCAAGTGGCCTTTGGTAGGGGAAGCAGCAGAGGGAGAGGGAAAGAGAGAATTCCAAGCAGGCTCCACACCCAGGGCGGAGCCTGACACAGGGTCCATCTCAAAGACCCTGAGATCAGGACCTCAGCCAAAGTCCTGGATGCTTAACCAGCTGAGTCTCTTAGGCGCCCCGCAGGACTGGTTTTTAAACACAACAGCAGCACTTGTAAAAGGGAATGCTTTCTTAAAAGAGGAATACTTTGGGGGTGCCTGGGTGGCTCAGTAGGTGTGGAGCTTACTTTAAAAAAAGAAGAAAAAGAAAAAGAAATAGTACTTTGTTCAGATCAAGACTAGGTACTTGATAAACAATATTGCTTATAATACTGGATTAAGTTTTTATTTTAATAAACTCAGTTTTGTCCACCACTCCTCCACAGAAGCCCTACTTTTTAAGACTTGCTGTATAAACATTTCTTGTAGATTGGCATAAACCCAGGACTAATGGCAGCTTACAAAGGGCATCATTACCCTGGACCTGGAAACCATTTTTGTAAGTAATTAGTTCTTTTAAATTATTTTACTTTTAAACTAGGTATCTCTGTTAATAGTTTGGGGTGGGGGTTAAACTAAATTGTGTGGGTTTTTTGTTTGTTTTAAAGATTTTATTTATTTATTTAACAGGTAGGGATCACAAGTAGGCAGAGAGGCAGGCAGAGAGAGAGGGGGAAGCAGACTCCCTGTTGAGCAGAGAGCCCGATGCGGGGCTCGATCCCAGGGTTCTGGGATCATGACCTGAGCCAAAGGCAGAGGCTTTAACCCACTGAACCACCAGACAGAGTGGCAGGCAGAGGCAGAGGGAGAAGCAGGCTTCCTGCTGAGCAAGGAGCCCGATGTGGGACTCGATCCCAGGACACTAGGATCACGACCTGAGCCGAAGGCAGCCGTTTAACCAACTGAGCCACCCAGGCGTCCCCAAATTGTGTTTTTTAAGAGAGATTGTTCATAAAAATACATACATCTTTTCTGTGCATGTGTACACAAAAATAAGTGTTTTGAAACTTTTTGGTGTTTTTTTGTTCACACTTTGGTGTAAGAGAGTGGAGGGACAAGGAAAGCAGTACTTCCTCTTTTGTTTTGCTAATAGTTTTATAGGCATTTTACTGCATTTTTAATTGCATTTTCTTTTTTACTTGATATCTGCAGTGATAGTAACAATAGTACCTCATTGTGCCCATGCAGACAGATACTGACCTTTCCAGATTTCTGCTTATCCTATTTCCAGGAGAGATGAAATGTGTTGATCACTGGCAATCAAATTGTAATAGTTAAGAAACTTTGTGATTGGAGACATTCTCTACAGATACTTTATATCTAGCAGTGTATAATATTAAAGAGCCTCATACTTGTAGAGTGAGCTTTAAAACCAAGTATAATTACTGTTACCTTCTATGTAAGTCCGCTTACCTAACACCGCCCAATAGAAAAAGGCATGCAGTAGTTCCTCAGGAAATACTAGTCCGTTATCTTAGAGTAACATTAAAAACATTTAAGACAAAAAAGTACAGTAACGTGTTTTTGGAGCTAAAGACATACTATCTCCATTATTTTAAAAAAATTTCTATAAAAGTTTGAACTTCCATTTCTTCCACTGTCAGGGTGTTTGAATGTTCCGGGTCTCTTGGTGTATATTTATTTGTTTAAGTTATTCCGGGGCACAGGGGGCAGTTACTAGAAAGGAAAACAAACCGTTTCAGAGTTTCCTACACTGACTAGCTCTGTATTTCCGACAGCCATTTACCTTAACTGTGAAAAGGAGATAAAAATAGTAATTAAGACCTCATAAGACAGTTATGATCATTAAATGAGATGATCCATGCAGAGGGTTTTGCACATAGTAATTGCTTGATATGGTATTTGACCTATAATTTTTTAAAATACCCTAAATCTTTTATTTAATTTAATTTCATTTATTTATTTATTTTTGGTAATTTCAGGATAAAATGTAGACTACCACATCGATTCATGGGGCAAAAACCTCTGATCTATATGGAAATAAACTCAAGTCTTATTTTCACAGGGAAGTGTCTGTTTATGTCCGGCCTGAGTGAGGTCCAGCTGAACCATATGGATGACCACACTTTACCAGGGAAATATGGTATTGGATTTACCAATATGGTGGAAAGGACAACACCAGGCAGCAAAGATCTTTCCAGGTAATTACATTTATTTTTATAGGTTGGAACCTGACCGTGCAGTTGCGTCATGTACTCTAGGAATACTATATTTACCTAGTTGAAGCTGAGCTTAACATGTAGCATAAATCAGTCTTTTATTCACAGCTATCTGAATTTAGGATATTATAAATATTGCCATATTGTATCTTGACTACTTTTTAATTCAATTTTAGTAAAGAATTTCGTGAAGGAGGACGTATTCTAGTGCAGAAATTACAGAAATATCAGCCACGAATAGCAGTGTTTAATGGAAAATGTAAGATTTACTTTTAAATTTTATCTTTTTTCTTTGCTAACATTATGGGCAATGTAAATATGTTTGTATTTCATTTTAGGTATTTATGAAATTTTTAGTAAAGAAGTTTTTGGAGTTAAGGTTAAAAACTTAGAATTTGGACTTCAACCCCATAAGATCCCAGACACAGAAACCGTAAGTCCTTAAAATTACATTTGTAAATCAGCTAAATAAGAATTTTTTTTCTAGCTAACTTCCCTTTTTTATTTGTCCTATCCATTGTAATTGATGCCATGGGGAAAGAAAAAAAAAAGCACTGGATTTCGTTGAGTAATAGTTTTATATCAACTCAAACTAATAGCTGCAAATTAACTCAGGTGCCGTTATTTAAAAAAAAAAAAAAAAGAAATGTTCGTCATATAAAATGTCTTACTGATGTTATTTGGTTAAAATGTTAGAAGGAGCTAGCTAATGTACATTCAAAGTCTATTTAGTGGCATATTCTTTTTTTTTTTTTAAGATTTTTATTTATTTATTTGACAGCGAGAGAGAGAGAGAGAGAGAGAGATCACAAGCAGGCAGAGAGGCAGGCAGAGAGAGACGGGGAAGCAGGCTCCCTGCTGAGCAGAGAGCCCGATGCAGGGCTCCATTCCAGGACCCGGGACCACAACCTGAGCCAAAGGCAGAGGCTTTAACCCCCTGAGCCACCCAGGCGCCCCTAGTGGCATATTCTTAACCAAATTCAAGTAGGTTAGCCCTTATTCGGTATGAAACAAATATGTAAATAAAGACATGCTCCCGATTAGCGAAACTGCTCATCACCCCCTGCTTGTATATCTTAGCCCAGTTTCATTTTAGAGCCATATAAACAGTATACAGTCTAGCTGCAGATAGACATTCCGCCAGTCCGACTGACACATGATGCTGTTAACTCTGGTCTTGTCCCTGAAGGTGTCATGAAGTAACAGTGGTTTTCAAACTCTGTCATTTTTCTATATAGCACTTCTGCAGACATTTGGTTCAAAGATCACTGCTTAAATGTAGTTTTAAGTTTTGTTTATAACTTTGAAAAAAACAACATTCGTGCACGGACCCATGTGTTCTAGACAGTATTTTAAATGATGGTGAAGCCAATGTGCCGACAGGTTTTTGCGGAGACCTCAGAGTGAAGTTTCTGCCACTTCCATACGTTTGAACGTCTCCTTTAAATTTCTTCTGTTTTTAACTTGTTATAAATATGTGATTGATAAAGTAGGTGGTAGCCCTGGTCTTTCTTTAAACTGAGGCTTACACTTGTCTACTTTGGTAAAATTGTAAAGGAGTCCACTGCTTTCAATAAATTACTGCATTATTGTCCCTTAAGAGCCAGATAAGACTCAGGTACATCTCTTGGATATATGTGACCGTAATAGTGCAATACTATATATATATAGTGAACTTGAATCTTATCACGACAGGTAGTTTTAGGTCTTACGATGAGCTGGGAGTACTTGTATCTTCTATAATTTTTTCTTTGGTATGAAATACAGTTATTGATGATGTTAGTGATTCAGCTTTGAAACAAAAAACTACTTTTTCAAATTTCTGGATCTCTTTTTTTAAGATTTTATTTACTTGAGAGCACAAGTGCAAGCAGGGTAGGGCAGGTGGAGGCCAGAAGCAGACTTTCCGCTCCGCAGGGAGCCCAACTTGGGGCTCCATCCCAGGACTCCAGGATCATGACCTGAGCTAAAGGTGCTTAACTGACTGAGCCGCCCAGGTGCCCCTCTGGATCATTTTATTTTATTTTATTTTATTTTATTTTATTTTATTTTATATTTCATTTATTTCAGACAGGGGAGAGAGAATGAGAGAGCACACAAGCATGAGGAGGGGGAGGGGCAGAGGAAGAAGCAAACTCCCTCCTGAGCAGGAAGCCTGATGTGGGACTCAGTCCCAGAACCCTGAGATTATGACCCGAGCCCAAGACACTTAACCAACTGAGCCACCCAGGCGCCCACCCCCTGGATCATTTTAATTGAAGAATAACTTGGGATGGGAAAATGTGCTATTACAAAACCCGGTAGCATTTGCACCTACATATCTTTATGAGTCAGGAGTTTCTAAATGCTTCCTGAACAAAACAAAAGAAATAATTTGTTTTTTATAATGTTATGGAGGCCAGTATAAAAATTGCAAGAAATTGCAACTGGAAATTCCATAGCCCAGCAGCCTCTCTCTTTGAAATATATGTGATGTATATTATTATATATTTTGTAATCTGTGAAGGACAGTTGCCATCCCAAGTGATAAATGCAAATGCCTTTCTCCTATGTCATTCTACTTCTATGAATTTATCCAGCAGATAAGCTCACACATACTCAAAATTAAATATATACAAGGTTTTTCACTATAGCTTGTAATAACAAAAGACTGGAAACGGCACGCCTGGGTGGCTCACTTGGTTAAGCAACTGCCTTCGGCTCAGGTCATGATCCTGGAGTCCCGGGATCAAGTCCTGCATCAGGCTCCCAGCTCCACGGGGAGTCTGCTTCTCCCTGTGACCTTCTCCCCTCTCATGCTCTCTCTCTCTCAAATAAATAAATAAAATCTTAAAAAAAAAAAAGACTGGGAACAACCTAAGTGCCCACAGATGGGGACTGGTTAAATAAATATGCAAGTACTACATAGCTATAAAAAAGAACATCTTTTTACTCTAATACAGATATCTGGTACAGAATTATCTCTGAATACACTGTTGAGTCAAAAAGAAAGGGAATAGAGAGCATGTTACCATTCACGTGTGTTTTAAGAAGGATGCGGGAGAGTACATCTATTAGACACATTTGATTGTGTATTCATAGGCTACACCTCTGAAACCAGCAACTTTGATTGCCCTGAGAAGAGAACTAGGTGAATAGAGACAGGATTGGGAGGGAAAACTTCCATTATATACTTTTGTGCCCTTTTGTACTTTTAGAGCTGTGAACCATATGTTTACTGTTAAAAAGACAAGACTGGTAATTGATAAATGAATGTGGGGCAGATGCCTCATTTTTTATTTATTGACTTAAAGATAAGTAAATTTTACAAATTTGAACTCAACCACAACCACATTTATTGAGTTTGCATATATTAATATGTGGTAAGCATCGTTATTAACCCAGAAAAAGATAAATGTTTTCATCTCTATATGACTAGATTCAGTAGACTTGTAAGATTTATGTAACTATATAATTTTATAATTCTAGCTCTGCTACGTTATGCCGTCATCCAGTGCGAGATGTGCTCAGTTTCCTCGAGCCCAGGACAAAGTTCATTACTACATTAAGCTCAAAGACTTGAGAGATCAGTTGAAAGGCATTGAACGAAACACAGACGTTCAAGAGGTGCAATATACATTTGATCTGCAGCTGGCCCAAGGTGTGTTCCCTTCTGCACCCCACTTATTCGTCTCGTGGATCTGTACATTACAGGAAGCATGTTGTGGATTTAAAAGCAGAAGAAAAGAAAAGTTACATTTGCGGTCAGTGCTCTGACAGTAGACACTGATCACTATTAAAAATCTCCGTTTACTAAAGTCTGTTGTGGGGACTCCTGCAGATGCTGAGGATACAGGAAACATCGTCGCCACCTGAAATTAAAATCTACTAGGCTTTTACAGTTCCTATGAGTTAATTTAGTATATGTTATAAAGAGTTCAAAAGATGATAGTGAAAGATACATCTTAGGATACGTGACCTAGAAAGAGATTTGTTCATGATGACTTCTGAATAAAGCTAGTTTCAGGACCATTGTACAAAATCCGTTTTAAAGCCCTTTTACTCTCCTCGCAGAGGATGCGAAGAAGATGGCTGTTAAGGAAGAAAAATACGACCCAGGTTATGAAGCAGCGTATGGCGGTGCTTATACAGAAAATCCATGCGCTGGCGACCCCTGCAGCTTCTCCTCCAGGGGGCTAGGTATGTTTCCGTCCGTGTGTATGTTCCTTCCCAACGCTTGGTTTTGTCAGGACTGGGGAAGGGGATGGGTATTTCTTTAAGAGAATGAATTATTGAAGCTTAGAAATGGGACTATGAAAATCTTTTCAGTGGCCAGTAGAGGAAATGTGCTGGTGAGCTGACGTTCCGCCACGCGCATGTACAGCACATTGTCTCTGAGTCACTGAGTCGTCCTAATCGCATTCCCTCCGTGAATAACCGTGAGGCTTCCTCAGTCCTGTGTCTGCCGAGAGAACAGAGATTGTTGGTTGTAGTCAAGAAGCCTGTGTAACTATTTTAATAGCAGTTCCCCTTCGCTGGACTGCTCAGACCTCCTGATTGAATCCTATAACATTTTTAGGTAAAAGAAAAGATCACTAACATTCTTTTCTCTCCTGGCAGCTGACAGTGCAGAATCAACTTTCGGTGACTTTCCAAATGGGCAGTGGATGACCCAGTCATTTACAGACCAGATTCCTTCCTTTAATAATCATTGTGGGACGCCAGAACAGGAAGAAGGAAGCTGTGCTTAAGAGTGGCACTTCTCAGCTCTGCCTCAGTGCCACCATTCTGTCGTCAAGAAGTGGCCCTCACTTGGCTCACTGAGGCATTTTATTAGTACTTTGCTCTCTGATGGGAGGATAGTACAGTTGCGTGATAGAATCAACTGTATGAACCTAAGTAAGTTGGGAAGGAAAAGGTAGGGGTTTTTTGTGTATGAGTTTTTGTATTTGAATTAACCATCATTCCAGCTTTTTATAAACTATACTTCGTTTATGAAGAAACTGATTCTCCTTGGGGAGTCACTTTTAATCTGTAATTTTAAAATGAAACAGTCTGAATATTTATACTTGATTATTAACTGTGCATAAACTGAGATACCCATGATTCCTTTTATGCCTAAGAAGGGCATGCTAGTAATAATTACCCCTGGTAAAGAGGCAGATGTGTTCTTTTTTGTATATGAAGTCAACCCACAGTGGAGTCTCATTTGGTAGTTTTTAGCGGCGTTTGATGGGCTCCCTGAAGCGTAGTCACGTTCACACCTCTTGGCCTCACCAGTGGGGAGCGTCTGTGAGAGATGCCCAGCAGGGGAAACGCAAAGTGCAGCCTCCAGCAGCAAGGCTGGCCGGGCCTTCTCTGACGGGGACCTGCAGCCTGGCCGCGGCCTCCTCTCGCTGGGTGTTAATCCTCTAGTGTAGGTAGAAACTGTTGAGCTGGGATGCTAAATTCCAGAGAATGCAGTAGACCTTTTTTAAGTTTGTTCCTTCCTCTGTGTTTTACTTGAGTGACATACATTTGATAGGGAAGGAACTGAATTTCTCTTACAACATCTGTCGCCATTCTACTTCTATCCTCCTTGGATTTAAGGGTATAACGTGGAAAGTGGTGAGAAATGAGCTCTTAGGCTGAGCAACAGCCTTCTGGAGGTATTTGATTATCTTATTTAAATTGGTGCTTTATGTACGTGAGTTGTATTAAGATAACAGAATTTTTTCATGCTGGGTATATCTAATCAATAATTTAAGAAAATCTCCACATCATTGTCTGTTGCTGTGAACTAAGTGGGCCTCTTGGCAGGGTTAGTTTGAAGTAACATACCTTTGTGATTTTCTAATGCCTTTTCCATGGTGCTATGAAGAGTCCACACTAGTAGGCCTGGTGGATAGTAAAGCTGGGTGTTCAGAAATGCCATTTGCAGTTACTCATGGTCACTTCTGAATGTCCTGATGTCGCACATACCCAGGGAGCATGCTGTTTTTCAATACGAAAATATTTATGAGGTGTTCTTTTTTTTCTAAGAGATTATATGGCCTGTTCTCTGTATAATAAGAGAAACAAAGTCTTGTGAATCTTAACATGCCTTTTAGCTGTGGCTGTGATGGATTTTCTATTTCCCTTAGTCTAGGTCAAGCTGTGTCAAAGTTACTCAGCCCATGTTCTCTCACTCATGTACTGCACTGCCGTTTACATGGATGTTTTATGCAGGCGCTTGAAGTGCCTTGCATCAGGGATTAGGAACAATTGAATTATTTTTTCATGGGACTATGTAAAGCATGTAAGTAGGAATTGCTTTGGTATATAATGATTGTAGCCTTACAATAGTTTTGTTTTGTTTTGTTTTAATTTGAGTGGAGAAAATACCCTTTAAATTATGATGGACACTCATTAGAGAATTGGATTGAGGATTTTTCAAGCATACAATAATGGTGTTTTCCATTACCTACGGAATGGAAGATGACTAGTGAATGTTGATATATCCTATACATGACTATATAAGACTTTTTCATTAAAAAATATTGAAAAAGTTTTTAAATTCATTTGGAAGTCTGATGGTTTTTACAATAAAAATATTAAGAATGATTATCCTAAGTTGCAGGTTTTTCTGCAGTAGGAGTGACTGGTATTCTTTCCCCCTTTACACGTGATGTTGGTCTACCCAGTGTTATGTTTAACTTAGAGAATAACATATATACTGAAAATCTGCAAATATTTTATGTTCTCAGACATTCATGTTTTAAATGTAATATATTGTTTTACAAAACACAAGACTGGCAACCTGTTTAAAAAAAAATAATACCTACATGTGAAAAAACACATTTAGAAATTTTTAAAAATTGTGAATACAAGTTGTCGTTTAGCGTGTAAGCAAGTTGCTGAAACCGAGACGGGTTCATTTCCTTCCAGCAGGCCAGCTCACGGACATCATCCCAATTTCCGTAACTGCCCCTGTCCTTGAGGAGTCTGTGCCTGCACGACCAGGTTACTGTTTGCACACAGTAGTCTTTGAGGTTTACGTCATAGGTGCTGTTCGTGAACAATGAAATAGGGCTACAAATGCACAACTCAACATTTTTATGTAGGAAATACTTAAAATGTCAGATTATATCAGCTGTTGCGGTGATTGAGTTTAAATATCCCTGCAGGGTCAGGAACAAACCAGCTCTCCCATAAGTCGTTGTGAACACTAGGGAAGTCCCAAGGTTTGTGTCTTCCATTCCAGTGGAGTAATTTTGCTTCCTGCAGAAAGTGCTCGGAATATCTGGTATCTGGATTCCAGCCTTCATGGTGTTTAGAAGAAAATAAGAGGCTTGTTAGAAAGTAGAATTTTTATATTGAAAATTGAATACAAGTCCATTATTTAAGAAACTAAGCAAATCAAAAAGTATGTAAGAATTGACCACCCTAAATCTCCAAAATAACCACTGTTAAGAGTTTCTCCTGAAATCCTTCCAGTAACATTCTAACCTGTATATGTGTGTGTGTGCGTGTGTGTGTGTGTGTGTAGTATAGCACATGTAGAATGGATAGAGAATTATTAGTTTATAATTGTTTACTTACTGAGTTCCTTATTAAGACTCTCCAGGTTGTCTCTGTCCCTTCACTGACATGAGCGAACACCGAACAGTGTGCACATTTGGCACATGTCTACAGATCCGTTGGGTAAATTCTTGTAGATGGAATCGCTAGACGGAAGGGTGCGTGTCTTACATTTTTGATAAGAGATTGCCGGACTGTCCCCAGAAGAACTTGTGTCAGTTTCCCTCCCGCCAAGAGTTTACAGGCGTTCTCCTTTCTCCACATTTTCCCTCAGAACGGCAACGTCTTCCTGTAATGATCTTGCTTTTACCAGATGGAATGCGAAGAGTAAGACGCACTTTCCAACACAAAGCTCTCCCCGTTGGAATGTTATTCCTCTCATAAGGAATCACTTAGAGATGGTGCGTTTACCCTAATACTGCCATTGCTCAGCATGTTTTTAGCATATCTCTTCCAGAAGTGCGTTATGAATGTAATCTATTATTTTTTTTTTTTTTAGTATTCTCTATGGTGTTAAATTTCCTTTCTATGAAAGAGAATTTGACATTTTTTTAAAACTGAAAATCCCTTAAGAGAGGGTGAGTAGCTGGAGTTGTGTGTTAGTCTCTCTTAACACATGATGCAAGAAAGAAAAAACAAAAGCCCATCTCCTACTATTCATAACCCAGCTGTGAAGGCAGTCACAGAAGAGGAGGGGGGTGCTTCAGGTTATGGGACCATAACTGGAATAATTATCAACTTCCAAAGACTGTACAAAGGAAATGCTCATCTGGGAAGAAGCACCCTAGAGTCTCCACTCAGCGGGACATCATCTGTCCTCTCCATGGTCTGAGGACTCCCTGTGGGCTTGCAGTTTGCCTTTAATTAAATATAGGTCCTACATTTTTAAAATCTTAAGCCTACCTGCTTAGACCCAAACTGAATACCCAGTAGTGTTACATTGCTTTCTGCTTCCAAAACACCCTAAACCAGAATCATTTTTCAAATGATTTCTGGGTTGATTTACTTTGCAGACTTCCCTGATTCCCAAACCTTCAGGACAGATGTAGTCTCTGTTCCACAAAGAAAAATTATTCCTTTCCCCTTAGGAAGATTCTGCCCTTTCCTACTTACCAATTGGATAGTTCATAAAATGTGATTGAGACTCTGCAAGTTCATAGAACGCTCTAACCTTTTCATCTAAGTTTCACGTAACTATTCCTACACAACCTTTTTTATAGACCTACAACTTTGATGGGATTTTCTGTACATTCATTACAGGGAAACATTGACTTTTGACCTAACAGTGAACCCAACATTATTATAAATCAAACCAGATGGAACATTAATGTCCTGAACTTCCCTGTGTTGCTCCTGTATGCATACAGACGCTCAGGAAAGTTGAGGAAGATTCTCGTAATGAGGCAGAAGCAAATCTATACAGAATCATTAAGAAACAGGAACTCAGCTACTATAGTTTTATGTGTCCCTTTTTTTTTTTTTCTTTTTTTAAAGATTTCATTTGAGAGAGAGCACAAGCAGGGGGCGGGGCAAAGGGAGAAGCAAGTTCCCCGCCAAGCCGGGAGCGTGAAGTGGGCCTCCATCCCAGGACCCTGAGATCATGACCCAAACTGAAGGTAGCCACTTAACCAGCTGAGCCACCCAGGCAATTATGTGTCCCTTTTAAAAAGGGAGAGTAAAGGACATACCACATTGCAGGTTCTGAGAATTAGAAATAGTATTCACCTTTGTCACCAGAACCTAGCTCAGTCCTTGACGGTGTAGAAGGTACTTAGTAAATATACATCCATAAGCCATTGTCTCCAATTCTAAAATAATGCCCAAGTGTCTGAAAACGAGGATTTTTAATAACTTTTTTGGTAGCAAAGCCTAGATCCCACTCAGGGTATTGCATGACATAAATGTATGCATCACGGTGCTTTTTTTTTGAGGGACAGAAAGGGAACACAAGCAGGGGAAGTGGGGGAGAGAGAAACAGGCTTCCCACTGAGCAGAGAGCCCAATGTGAGCCTCGATCCCAGGATCCTAGGACCATGACCTGAGCTGAAGGCAGACTCTTAACAACAACTGAGCCACCCAGGCGCCCCTCACATTACCTTTTTAAAATTCAAAATCTGGGGCGCCTGGGTGGCTCAGTGGGTTAAGCCGCTGCCTTCGGCTCACGTCATGATCTCAGGGTCCTGGGATCGAGTCCCGCATCGGGCTCTCTGCTCAGCAGGGGACCTGCTTCCCTTCCTCTCTCTCTCTGCCTGCTCCTCTGCCTACTTGTGATCTCTGTCTGTCAAATAAATAAATAAAATCTTTATAAAAAAAATAAATAAAATAAAATTCAAAATCTTTCCCATTTCTAAACAGTTCTGGCCCAGTGCTTTTGGCTAAGGGATTGTGGCCATGTGTTTGAATGAATGTGACTGTCTTCTGCATCTGGCTCTGTGCTAAGCAATTTACAAGTATTAGGTGATTTATTCCTTATAAAAACTTTATAAGGTTCTATTAGAATCAGTTTACAAATGGACAACTAAGGCATAGGAAGATTGAATAATTTGCCCAACATAGGTAATAGCAAAGTTGGGATTCCAGTCCATATCACAGAGCCTGCACTCCCGCAGTGAGGAATGAATAAAAGACTCACATGGTACACAGTCAGGAAACAACTTCTTAAAAGAGAAGCTGTGAGCCGTCTAAATACATCATAAGCCATTACGCTAATTTGTTTGGTTTTGCCCACTGCAGGCTACTGCAAGAGGGCAATAAAGGCAAGTGAAAAAGTTCTGACAGCGAAAGTTCTATTTTAACAATAGGTGATGT